TCCACCGCTTCGTGGAGGGACTTGGGCGAACACAAATAGTTAGATGATGCCTTGCCTTTTTCGGTGTATGGCACCACAAAACCAACACACCTCAAAACTCAATTTCCCAGTCATGTTTTCCAACCACTTTCTCCAACAGCATAGCGTCTTCATCCCCACACCCAGACTCAACACATATTTTCTCAACGAGAATACCCGAATGCCAACCAGGCAACCACCTGCCCCCAAGCTTCCAATTCTTCAGCATCCCATTTTCAACGATCATGCCAACAGCCCTCACCTACCAACATCGCACCATCCTCGCCTCAATTAGCCACCTTCTTAGAACCACAAAAGCACCGTTCCACAGCTTTTTCCATCAAAGCCCACCCACTCGATCCACAGCCTGCCACCGCCTGAAACGGGCAAGGCCCGCCGCCTCATCGCAAATGGTTCCCCCACCCTGCAAGCGCTTGAAAGTGGGCTGTGGCTCCAGGCTTGAGGGATCACCAAGTCTCCTCCAAACTAAACCCGAAACAAGGGCCCTGGCCCTTCTGTGGGGGATCTCCGCGGTCCTAGAGACTCTGACAGACTCTGAACCCAGCCGGCCCGGGCCCGGGCCCTGATGGCGCCCAAAAAGCCCAGGCCATGCAGGCGTCGTACCAGGGCTTCAGGCACATCAAGACTTTACTGGATGCCCGGCGGCAGTTGGTCGCTGAAATCTGCTCGACGCTCGGCTTCTCTGTCTCTCCTCCATACCTTTTCGAAGGTTCGAACACTGAAGGCTTCAGGCGGCCAACCCAAGTAACCACATGTGGCGACTCGCCGCACCAAGGATCACCACGACGCATGGAAGGCCAAAGGCCAGCGTGAAGTCTCGAGTACTTCTTTTGAATCCTGGGAGGTCCCACTTGCGGGCTTTGTCCGGTTGTCAGGTGAAGCCGCCACGACGGGCTCCAGCGCCTCAGCTGCCGCTGCACGTCGGGCTGCGAACCTCGCAGAGGCGCCTTTGGCGAGGCATTTCCAAGGTCCGTGAAGACAGCCCTACAAGGGCAAGTAGCGACTGCGTAGAAGTTCTGCAGGCAGACTATTCTCACTCTCGTTTGCTCTAGCATTCAGCTGGCTCGAAGTCCAGGTTGTCAAGTTCTAGAGCCCGGTCCACCCCAGCGCCGTGTCTGGATTTTTCCCGACAGGCAAGCTTGTCGACTAGACCTATATTTCATGTTTCAAAGGTTGGCGGTTGTCGGACAACCCGAGATTCAGTCTCTTTGTAGTGCTCTTTGTTGCCGAGGTGGCACAGTCGCTCCGTGAGGAGGCAGAGAGAAAAGAGGACCAAACTGATTGGGCTACTCGTTCAGAGTATCCACGGGCTGGACTTCTAAAAAAGTCGGGGCCGGTTTTGCCGTCCTGGCTTTGCTGCAGGAATGAGGGCGGGCCGGACTTCCTTGTTGCATTCGTGAGGCAGCCGAATCCGCACGGGTGGTAAAACAGAATTACCTGAACCCGCGATTTTGACTCGGCTTCCCGTGCCGCGACGAAGCATAGGACGATGCTTTCTGGGCCTCCGTGCGTGCACGTCGTGATCGAGCTTCCGGCGATGAAGAGCTCTTCCGCGACTTTGCAATTCGCCTCACATGTGAGGTTCGGTCTTTTCGATGGTTTGTGGGCTTAGTCTAAGCCCTTTCTCCCAGCATCTCTAGCTCCACACCAGCTGCAGCCAACGCAACCGAGGTGTCAACAAGCGCAAAAGGCCCGAGCGCCTCCCACGCCGTCGAGGCCGAAATTCCGGACGTGGGTAACCTGGTAAGAGGCGGTCGAGGCTGTGCAGTCTAGCTTTCACTCTTCCACACTTGCGGTTGAGTCCAGATTACTGGGAAGAGGACGGCCGAGTTGGGCCGAGGATGACCTCCAGCCCAGCCCTCCTTCCGACCAAGGAGCCACGGCGCCTGCCAGGCCACTTGCGCGCGGAACTCGGCAGACTGTTCAGGGTTGAGGCTCGCGAATCGTTTCTGTGCCAGTCCAAAGTTTTTGGCTCTAGGTAAGTCAGTCCCGAAGTTAGCTCACGAGGAGCTTGCGACAGTTGCCACCGCATTATCCGTTTGAGAAAACATCAGCTTTGATATGTCGGGGGTGGGAGGTCCCTCACGCCTCGGTGCCTGCTTTTGGATTCGTCGTGAGTCTGAGTAGAAGAGGAAGGGGCCGCTAGCTTTGATCCCCCCAGCTCGAAACATTGCGGTATGCTCCTGCAGTGTCATCGCTTTGCAACGCAGCCGCCCAGTGGAAATTTGCACTTTGCTTATGTAGGTGGAGCTTACTGACGTCATCCAAGCCTTAATCCAGAGACCAATTACAGACAACGAAACGGTGTGACGTGCTGCCTACAGAGCGCCAAGTTGCATGACTGGCGGCCATACTGCACCAGGAAGCATTGAACGTACGTAGGGTTTAGCATCGCTTCTCTCGCACTTCCTTCCTTGAATCATTGAATTTCTGGGCCCACTCATCTTAAGTTGCCAAAGGATCTAAATACGAAGGGGGACTCGGGCCTGGGCTTTAGCTACTTGTATAGGCTTCTTAAGCTGAGGGCCTCCGCTTGCAGATTGCGGATTGGGTGCACTCTCAGTGAAAGGTGCTGGGTCTGGGACCTCTCATGGTAAACTGGTGCCCTACACCCCAGAAGGGTCCCTCCTCAACGCGCTCAACATCGATGCTTGCCCTCCAAACAGAATTCCCACCACGTTGGAGCTCGCTTCTGTCCACCTCTCTCTGGAATCAATACGTATTGCTTGTACTGCAGGGGTTCTCAAGGCTCAACGCAAGCTCCTCTCATCGCAGCCTAAGGTGGGCCTTATCGGATCTTAGATCTTGGGCCAGAGTCTTGGAGGCACTAAGGTTGCGTGTCGTTTATGGTTCTAGGGCTGATGGTGGCAGGATCTGTGCCCTGCAACCATGATGCTGGCTTCTCGCTTTTGAGTGGACGGGTGCTTCAGTAGTTTTCAGCCTTGACGTGTCGAGTGGCGTGGCATGGTTCGCTCGCGAGTTCGTGTCGTCCCCCTAAATTCTCTGCAGATAAGAGATGTTGCAGTTGCTTGCGCGGGACCAGACCGCAGAGACGCCTCGAAACTTCAGGTCCGAAGCCTTGAGTACAAATGCTCTAATTCAGGCAGCAAGCGCGGATGATGTGCGGAAAGCCTACCGGAAGCTCGCCGACGCCCAAGTTGCGGCTTGAGTTGGGGCTGCGCTAATAATCTGTGGCAGGCAAGCGGTTATCTACAACTTAGAATCCACTCTGAGACCAGGTCTGAGCTACAGGTGCTGGGTGCTTGAGATCCCAAGTTTTGTATCTTCTGCGCATGTAGAGATTGGAATAGATTACGAGATTGTCTTGTACTAGTAGTTAGAAGGGTGCGATCGTGCTGTGGACCGTATTCCGTTTGTTCCCTATATTGGGTATGCGAATCACCCAGAAGCCAAGCCCACAGTCGGCAGGCACAGGTCCCTTCCATACCTGATGCACAAAGGGATACCGCAGCACATGATTCTGGGCTTGAGTTGTTCACCACCCATCTTGATGGCTATTGGCGCGGCTGTGCCGCACACCCTCAAGTGGGAAAGCCCGGCACCCCACTTCCATCCCATCGGCCTCGCCCGAAGAAAGGCCCTGCTGCATCATCCAGACAAGAATCCTGACGACCCGGACGGTGCCAAGAAGCGATTTACAGAGGCTTCCCACCGCGAGTTTGCTGGGGGCAGTTCGGCAATGACGTGGCAGTTCAGTTGAGTTCTGTTCAATCTGGTTGAGCTATAGGCTGCAGATCATCGTCGTGAGGACAGCGAGAGCAGACCCGCTTTCCAAGGAAGTCCAATTCTCGAGCCAGACATTTCGTTGGCACTTGAGTACGAATGTACCAGGAGTCGAGTTTCGAGATGCTGGAATTTCAGCAGGACAGTTAGTCAAGTCCGTTCTTCAGCAGCTTCCCACATTGCTTCATTGCCGCAAGCTGTGTGCTTCCCATTCTTGTCACCATCATGCTTCTCACTCCTGCAGCTCGTGCCGCTTTGTGACCTAGCACCAAGCGCCCCGGCAGGCTGCCCTGGCGTATGAGGCCATTTGCGCTCATTTGGCCCCTCCCGTGAGCTCACGCTGAGGTGGCTCGAGGTTGGGACTTGCGAAGGGCGCCCAAGATGTAGGACTTTGAACAATTGGCTGGAAAGAGGGTTTGCCGTGCTCTGGCACTCGTCTTGGAATTCCCTTCGGCCAAACCAGTATTTCCAAGTTTTCGCTCCACGAAATACCGCATAGCCCTACGCTGTTGACCTGTTGCTGTTCAGCCGCATGTACTACTGAGTTACTACTGTACTACTTCCAGCAACATGAGCTCGGTCTGAGAAGAGCACCTTCGTGCCTCCTTCACCATTGCTCATTCGCACTTTCTGCAGCCACGGCGCAGCCGTATCATCATCATCATCATCACCACCATCATCATCATCAAAATCATCATCATCATCATCGTCATCATCGTCATCATCATCATCACCATCATCATCATCATCATCACCATCGTCGTCATCATCATCATCACCATCGTCATCGTCATCGTCATCTTCATCGTCATTGTCATCATCATCGTCAGCATCATCGTCGTCATCATCACCATCACCATCACCATCGTCGTCATCATCATCATCATCATCATCATCACCCTCGTCATCGTCATCGTCATCGTCATTATCATCATCATCGTCAGCATCATCGTCATCATCATCGGCAGCCTCATCGTCAGCATCATCAGCATCATCAGCATCATCATCGTCATCGTCATCGCAATCATCATTGTGGTCATGTCTTTGGCCTGGCTAGAGGCGGATGAAGACGAAGCTGACTGCACACTGAGCTGGCCCGTCACAGATCGCCTGAGGAACAAGAGCCGTGCACATTTTAAGCCTGCTGCAGCCCCTTCGGTTTGAAGTCGCAGGCATTGGTTTAAAGTTGCAGCAATGCTGGTCAATGGTGTGCGCAGGTTACGGATATCTTCGGCCACAATGTGCCAGACACAGATACCATCGGCCACAACTTACTGAAGGCAGTATCACGTGTCACAGCGGTTTGAGCCCTGATGGGAAGATCTCGTTTCCCCGACTGTTGACTAAACCAGCTCGGGTCAAGCCAAAGCCCTGAGCGTCGACGAAGCCACACGGACAACCTGCACATTGAGGTCTTAGCTATAGGAGCTGCTGCCAAGACGATCTCCAAGCCCGGAGCTTATGTCACGGCGTTTCGTGTCAGTCTTAGTATTCGCACCATGAGACCGAACAAGGTGCAGCAGCTGTACAGCTTCTCATAGGGAATTCACAGGAGACACTGCAGTCGACAGGGCAGTCGAGCTTTCCTGTGGGTTGAGGGCAGGGCCTGTTCGGCTTGGACTGGAACGCGTTTTGGGTGCTTGATTCCGGGCAGCTCAGCAGCTTTACAGAGTTTCATTCAGGAAGCACAGAGACAGCATCGCAGCTGGGTAGAACATATGCACTAGGATGGTGAAGAAGCCTGATTCTGATACTTGTGTGGACTCTTGCGGGTGGAAGGCAGAGCAAGGGCCAACCATGACATGATACCGCACAATGATGTCGCCCTACCAATTCATCACTCCGAGGCCAAAGCCGGAAGAAGGAGCGGGGCTCAGAGGAAACCTGTCCAAAGTGACTGAGACAGGAGGCTTTGGAGGGCGAAGCCCTGAACTGACCCTGTCGTCTGCTGCCACGTTGGGTTCGTCAGTTACTCGGGAGCAGGTTGGTTGATCTGTCCTCGCAGGTTGAAATCCTCTTCATTCCCCTTTAATTCTGCCACTACTTGCATGGCCGCTTGTGTGGTGGAACAGCGGCGATTGCATTAGCTGACGGTTGCCGTACCATTGTATCAGCACCGCGAGACCGTACAGTGAAAGGCAGGTTTCGGCGATGTGGCAGCATCCCTGAGAGCGGGAGTAGCCGTGGCAGAACGAGGAAGGAGGGGAACAGACGCGGCGAAACCGTCGTTGGATCAGTCTGAGTTCGGCACACCAGCGCACGTTCGGCCTAATTACCTTGAGGCACCTGGCATTATCGAATTGTCGGTGAGATGGGGGTATTCCGTGCACATGCGATGCGCTGCGCGTTGGCTTGTCTGCTTGGCGGCATGCATGGGGCCACCGGCTGGTCTCGTGAGCCATTTCTAGCGCTGTATGGGAGGACGTATGGCTTCCAATTATAGACAAAATAGAAGCAGATCCACGGTTGAACCCGCTCCAATTGGCAGGGCACCTCCTCCTCACACCCACACAAGCCAATAGGTGGCGAGGGCTAATGTATGTGTTGGGAAAGTTGGGTTTTACTCCGGAATTCAGAACGGAGAGCGGGCTGAACAACGATGCGACCAACAGCTTCGAAAGTGCGCACATACACGATGGGTTTTTGCCTTGAAGATCCTTGAAGTGCAAGGGACTAAGGTGCAAACCCCAACATCTGTGCAAGCCTCAACTTCCGAAACAGCTCGATCCCAAAACTGCTACCCCGGCCGAAACGAGCCGCCGAACCGTCCAACCTCCAAGTGCAACAGGCACTCTGTAAGGCTCATTCAGGCACTGAGGAACAGTCCCCCCTCTGCCAAGACTAGGAGAGGTCGGAGCTTGGAAATTCGAAGCTCTTTTGACTTGGAACCTTTCCAGGCGCTCCGGGCAGCACCCTCCAGAGGGTGCCCACGCGCGTCCGCTTCGGCGACCATGGGGAGCCAGAGCTTCTGAGGGTGAGCGACAATTGTGGACCCTGACTTTATGGTTTCTGTCGTTTTGAGGCTTGCGCAGCGTTCATGTATCCGGGGATATGAAATGCCATTGAGAAGAGTGTCATGATGTGGACATGCGTGGACTTCAGAGTGCAGAGGAACACAGACTAATATAGGGTCACAGCAGATGCTGAGGCCCATAGAGGTGGTTGAAGCCCGGCGAGACGGAGGCAAATGCGGTGGGCATCAAGTCACACCTAAGCGTTTCAGAGCATTTCTGGGCGTCCTGCTATGTCTCGTGTCTCCAAATCGCCACAGGAGATCTTCCCAGGGATTTCTGGGCTTCCCAGAGTGGCCTCGAGTGGACGGACCTCCGTGGAGAGCGTGTTCGAACGCAGGACTTTGGGGTCAGGGCTGGATGAGCGACGGATGATGGTCAAGTGTGTGGGCACACCGGAGACATCCCCAGATCCCCAGATATGGATATGAATGAACGGCCTGTTCTTGTGAAGATTATCATGGGTTGGCATGCTCATTCGCCTCCTTGTCCTTCAGTATCTGCTTTCAGGCTTTAGGCTTTAGGGTTTAGGGTTTAGGGGTTAGGGGTTTAGGGTTTAGGGTTTATTGAGCCACTTGGACAGAATCCCATCGCTCGGCAGGAAGCCAAGGAGGCCAGCAGGAAATTGGATGAGTGGACCCCAGACATGTCATGCAATTCTTGTGATCGACATGTCCACATCGTGAAATTCTGCGAGCTGCAGAATAGCGTATAGTAACATTAATCATTCACTGGCTTCACGGGGTTCTTCACATCGTCGTCGTAATCGTTTGTAGTCATCGTTGTCGTGGTCGTCGCAGTGGCCACTAGTGCTGCCAGTGGTGGTAGTAGCAGTTGTCGTCGTTGTAGTAGTAGTAGTAGCAGCAGCAGCAGCAGCAGGAGCAGCAGGAGCAGTAGGAGTGATAGTCGTAGCGGTAGTGGTAGCGGTGCCAGTAGCAGTAGCAGTAGCAGTAGCAGTAGCAGTAGCAGTAGCAGTAGCAGTAGCAGTAGCAATAGCAGTAGTAGTAGTCGCCGTCGTCGTCGTACGTAGTGGTAGTGGTAGTGGTAGTAGTAGCAGTAGCAGTAGCAGTAGCAGTAGCAGTAGCAGTAGCAGTAGCAGTAGCGGTAGTAGTAGTAGGAGTAGGAGTAGGAGTAGGAGTAGGAGTAGTAGGAGTAGTAGTAGGAGTAATAGTAGTGGT